GACCGGCCTCCCCCCTGACACAGAACCGTGCTACATAATTACTGAAAATACTGCAACAAGAAAGAAAAAAATCTAAAAGCCAGGGGCAGCAATCTTTTTATATATATAAATATTCTACATTGAAATAATTATTGCATTTTAAGACCTAAAAATCTTTCAGGTGATTGAAATTCTGAATACATAAATAGAAGAAAAAAGTGTAAATTTGTTTTTTTTCCCCTCAGGAGAAGCTTATTACCTGATTATATCCTTGCTAGGACTCATTTCTTCCCTAGGCTCAGACAGGCTAAATCTCTCTTCCTGTAAATACCAAAGAGTTTGAATTTTTATATCACTCTAGGGACAGGGGAGAGACAAGGCAGTGCTGCTGGTGATGTGACTGCAGTGATGTCTGAAGCTCCCAAGACACACACTGCCTTCAGATGAGCTACCGTTTCTCGAGCTGAAGCCCAGGCAGCTGAGATGGTGGCCATCTGACACAGGAAACACAACAGTCATTTTATTACTGGGAAGCAGGAGTCAGAAGAGATCCAGACTGTTAAAGGATTACTTGATTATGGTCTTAAAAAGATGGGCTTGACCTCCTAGCTTTTCCTTTTACACGTGAACGGAGCAGCAAGGAGTTCAAGAAGTTTTTTTAATCCTGAAGAGTCTCAGATCATTGGAAGTGTTCTAGCTCATCAAGTGAAGCTCAGGGAGAATAGCTCACAGCCGCTTCCGTCCATGGTGCAGGCAGTGCCCACATTTCTCATCCTGCCTCTAGGCTCTTCCTTTTGCACTTAAAGATTTTGGATTGGGACAGCTTTAGAAACGCTACTACCCTGCGGCTCTGTGCTTTTGAACACTCCTGGGAAGCTGCAGGCAGGCAGCCACTGCAATGGCAGTGGGGGCACAAGTGAAAGGAAGGAGCTCCCATTCGGAAACAGCTCCGGAAAAACTAGTGCTGTGCAGTGGAGGAGAGAACAGAAGTGGATTATCCTTTCTGCTACCTCAAAAACGAACACAAACTAAGCCATAGATACATAACACAGGAACAATGAGTCACACCACACTTTCAAGCACACCTGCCCAACCCCCTGTTTCATAGCAAACCAGCATTTCCTCCACAAAGGACTGAATGCCTAGCAAAGCAATTATTGAATGCTGAATTGGTAAAGATATGTTTACATCCCATTTGCTGGCAGTAATGCTCATGAGATTGCGTGTTATCGGGTTCAGTTAGCTGATCTGATCGGCTTCTCATGGCCAATTCCCACCTGCCTGTCTGACAGAACTGGACATAGAGTCACCTCCTAGATGGTCAGAAACAACATGACAGGGATTAATAAAAGGAGATGGGTGATACTAACTAAAACACTGGTGCAAGTAAATATTCCTTTTGCAGAACTTAGTAACATCTTCAGCATATCTGAACACCACCAGCCTGAGAAACACGTGCCAAGGTCATTCCTAAATCTTAGTTTTGTACATGTCAGCTCTTGAAAAGCCATCTGCCAAGCCAGCTGTTTCGGGAATATATAACAATTTCTTAGATTATATATTTAGTCTAAAAGTTCCTATTTTCTTCCTCTCTTTCCTCTGTTTCTCAATTTATTTAAGCACAATTACCCTATGCAGGCTGGTATCTGCCATATCTTCTTGAATATCATACACAGAAACAAATTATTATATCCATTCTCTGAGTATTAATATTTTTTTTCCTGGTACTGGTATTCAAACTTGGGAAGATTAGCAACCCTAAGTGAGGTAATAAAAATGAGCAAATATGTTATTTGTTTCAAGTCATTACAAAGTTTGAACAAATACTATGATGCTTGCATATCCACACACACACATAACAAATACATAGCTGAACACAAGCTATATTTCACCAAATTTAATTGTAACAATAATATATACAATAACTAGTAGTCTGTACAGCACCATGAATTTAAATTCTCCTTGGAGCCAGCAGGCACAATGCAGAATAAAAACCAGTTTCCATCAGACATTGCAATACCTACCATGAAAGTTTAAGTCAATCCTAAATTCAGGCTTCCTAGGTCTGTGCAACACAACCCCCCTTCTCTGTTAACATTGGTGTTTGTATAATTGTGTTGACTGTTCAGCTGGCTTATCTGATCTAAAGCTAAGCCTACAAAAAGGGACAGCTGGTGATATAGCTGAACTAAAATTCAGTAGTTTCAGATATGTTGTAGTGACTTCTCAGAAATGCTGGGAACCTGTTTCTCTAAAAATAAGGCCTGAGCAGAGAAAGAATAGCTCAAAGGCAGGTTACATCTCAAAGTATCACCAGGCAATGCTTAGAGCCCTGTGTTCACAGAATCATAGAATGGCTTGGGCTGGAAGGGACCTTAAAGATCATCGAGTTCCACCCCCCCTGCCAGGAAATTTAGCACTCAGGTTCATCTTCTGGAGGTGTTTTGTGGAACCCCTTTGGAAATCTATTGCCTGTGCTGTACCTCATTTCCCGATTGGTGATTTTTAATTTGTGTTTTTTCTGACAAGCACTAAATTAACAAACATGCAAAAATATTGTTAATGATATTACAGCAGATAATTTCTTCTTGAGAGCAAACAGATCTTTACCAATTCAGCATTTCAACCAACAGATTTTAAATGAAGTTCTGTTGAGACTTGTCGTTTGCTACTTGGAAAACAAAGCTGTTGATGCTTAGCATCTTCATTTTGTAAAAGTGTTTCTGAGTTTCCTGTTTTATGTGCTTACTGAAATTCAGAAAAAAAAGAGGCACTGATTCTATTATGAATTTGTTTTATAAAATAAGTCCAGAGATTTTAAATCTTAAATTTAAAAATGAAAAACTGCAACCAGTATTATAAAAGATATTTTTAATTTTTATTACGTACATCATATAACTTTATTTATTTATACCAAGATCTTTGCATATTACACATTTTTTATTAACATTAAAAATGTCTTACTTGTTTGCAACCAAACGCATCACTGTCCAGTCTTTTGGAAACATCTCTGGTCGTATGAGTATCCGAAATACAGTGAAAATCTGCAGCAGGAAATCCTTTGGAAGGAAAATAAGCAGTCATATGTCTTTGCTGCTTTAAAAAGAACAGTGAGCTTTAAAAATATTTTAATCAGAGACAAAAAATCGTTATAGAAATAACAGAATTACATTTATTTTCAACACAGATACACCTCTGATATTTTTTTCATTTCTTTGATTCCCCAAGAAAGCTTCAAACAGTGATTTAATTCATTTTTCTTACAAGAAGGAAAATAATTTAGTGTGCTGTTTGATTGACAGCAATGCATAAGAGAAATGTCAAAGATGCATTTGGTTTCCACCCATACACTTCCACAAATGCGATCCTGAGAACAATTTGCAAATCAAAAAAGCACTTTACAAACACTACAGAGTTCTGAATATCTCCTTAATCATGCCAGGTTTTCATCACTTTCAAGACTTACTCTAAAAGTGTCATTATTTGGCAGCAACGAGTGTAAGGACAATTTTACAAGTGGGTTTGCAAAGACCAGTGAATTCACTAGTGATGCCTGGGCCCCTGAACTGTTATCACAGCTGGCTGTCCGTATGCAGGTCACTTAACCATTATGCCTCATTTACTGAATCTATAAAAATAGTGAACACATGTGAACTACTTTGAATGTAGAAAGCACTGCTTAAGAGCTTTTAGCAATAAGCTCCTATGCCATTTATCTCACTACTAAATAACTAAATTAAACTATTCTTCTCAGCACACAATTTTTCAGATTTTCTCTTCACAAATAAAACTACCAACAAGGGTACTATTTCTGGTGGCCCATCTTGATTGTGGTGTAGTAATGCTTGTATTTTTTTAGTAAGCAAAATGGAGCTTTTGATATCATGAAGACATGAGGCAAGTGATACAACATGTCTAACAGAATCAGTGTAGTACCTGAGCTTAAAATGTTTTGTATTGATTCTGCCCACACCGCTTGTAGAGTGTTAGTCTGAAACACAGATTGGATGAAGATACAACCAAAGGATACCAAATAATTTGAAGACCAAAATATATTCTCAAATGCATTTACCAAAGTGTATATGATGGGCATTGCACAACAGATGTCTGTCATTAGAGAATCACTGTAAAGGGGGATGAACGCAGGCGCTGGGAAAGGCAGCTGAGATGCCTGCACCCACCCACCAGAGAAGATTACATAAAAGAAACAAACTGTTTTCTGAGCAAGATGCCAACAAATTCACTGTATTAAAGAGCTTAAATGATACTCATTGCAGATAACATAATGTTTGACTGCAGGTGACCACCTTTACAGATAAACAAGTAGCTCTATGAGCAACACAGTTATTCCAGACTACTTTCCTGTAGCTTTGCTCCTTGTTAAATTTGAACACTTCTGCCGGGTTCTTTTTTTTCTTTAGAGGTTACCTCCCTTCCCTGTGCTGCAATCCCTGCAGCTCTGGGCCGTAATCCCAACAATACAGCAATGCATCTAATGCTGCTCTTTGTCACCTCACTATAATGTCCCAAATTCTCCCATACCCCCTTTCTATCCTATCTGTTGTCCAGACACAATACATACTGCTGCTGTTAGGGAGCTGACTGGCTGCTGAACTGAAGAGACCAAATGGCTGCTGTTGGGAAACCAAGCAATGGTTTAAGGACTTAAAACCCAAGGGCTGCATGAGGTGTAAACTTAGTGTCTTTGAGACCCATGGGCCACTGTCAAAGACTGTTGAAATGCATCAGCTTGTTCAAAAGTCATTAAGAAAAGAATGACAGGCAGAGAAGAAGATCATATATACTTGATTTCTTTAGGTAACTAGGCTGAAAACATTTTATTCCAAGCAAACTTTAAAACAAAACAAATGTAGACACTGGCATTAAAATTTGAATCATTAATACCAGGCTAATTATTTCTAATTTTAACAGAAAAAACCCCAAAATTTTGTCATCAGTTTAGAGATAAGTGATATTACATACAAAATGTGGATTTGAAAGGCCCGAGTAAGACAGAAGATGTCTTTGTTACAGCACATACTAAAGACATACAAATAAAATGCAGTATAATTCAGAGCTAAAATATAACGGAAAGAAACAGATAACTCATAAAAAAAATCAGAAAAACTAGTCAGTTGTATAATTTTCAAGATACAACTATTAAGCTTCTATTAAAAGAATTAATCTGTAGCTAACTCTTATTTTTTATGGTTCAGTTTTTGTATATTTAGTAATGCATTTCCCTACGAATTCATTATAAGCATGAAAATAACCAAAGGGTAAAATGCCAGTTGACTAGTCTGATACCTTGCCATTAATGTGCTGATATCCCTCATATGTCAGCACTGCTCATTGATACCAGTGTTCAAACCCAAGGGATGTACCTCCACAGGTAGCAATTCCATAGGATGTTTTGATCAGCATTACAATGCCTGGCATTTTGCATGATGCAACTGCTCATTTTTGTTTCAAGATCCAAACATCACAAGACATTACTATGAAGCACCATTCATAGAAGATAATTTTTGTAACTATATTTTGAACTGTTTCCTTTGCACTAAACTATTGTCTTTCATAGTTGTATCTGCTCTGCTGAACACATCATAATGATTTAGTAACAGATTTTAACATTTAAAAACATTTTTGCTGGCAGTGTAAGTGAACTAACATTTGGTTGGTTGAATACAGACATAATTAATGTCTCATACGCATTCTATATTAAGAGACAGCAAGGGAGCAATTTTGTCCTTTTACATACTCTAAATACCATCTCTTAATAATGCTACCTAGTGCACATAAGCTCTAGTACTATCTTATACCACTTAAATAATATCAGAATATCACAGTTCAGTTTCCTCTACCAGCAATACTTGATTGATGCAATTATCAAACTGTGATTAAATGAGAAGCATGGCCTTCTGAAAGACTGAAAACCACCTATTTATTTAATCAAAAACTGTCTTGGAATTTCTTTCACATTTCCCTGTATTCATGTAAAATCCTCTGTAAAGCAGGTCAGACCCTTCACTGGATCCCTCAGGGTGCATCTATATTAGAATTCTAATTTGAGTCAACAGTCCACGTTGAAGCTAATTGCTTGATCATCCATCGCTTTGGTTTGCACTGCAGAGTTATCAAGCTACTTGGTATCAAGTCTTTTTAAAGCATCCTAGAGCCTTTTGGCCAAGTGCCAAGCAAAGTGCCCATAAGAAAGAGGATGGCCTCAGTCTACATCAGAAGCCACCCAGATATTTGTTTTAGAGCTACCCCTCTGCCCCAGCAGTCATCCTACCAGAAGTTCCATATGTGAGCAGATGTCCCTGCATAGCATTGGATGGATGGTGGCTAGAACTGAGCTTCTCCACCAGAGACATTCCCCAGGCCTATGGACCTCACACAGCCTGTGTCCAAGGGGTCATTAGAGAACAGTGGAATACATTGGACTTGGTGGCTGGGTTCGGCACCCACCTTACCCTGCTTAGGCTCCTTAAGCTGGGAGAGAGTGATCAGAGAACTATTAAGATTTACACCCATTCCTACAAAATATACCTCTTCATCAGATTTCTCCTGAATATCTAGTCTGTTACATTATGTAGGGTACACTGCCAATGGATAAAAAGTAGGCCTTCTGGCAGGTGCTTATCTGTTTGTTTTGTCTTCTTTTAATCTATTAACCAAAACCACCTTGCTGTGGTCAAAGCTGCACTGTGCTAACATACACTGTTTTTCTCATTCACTTTCCCACTTCTCTCCTATTTATAACTTCCACTGTTACCTTTTGCCATAAATTATATCTGAGCTTTTCTGCAGCAGCAAATATCCACCCACAAGGATGCCTCTGTTCTATAAATTGCTATAAAATATATTTACTAGAAGAAGATGGTATTTTGTGGTAAGCAAAAGAAGCATATCTTTAAAATAATATTGAAAGATAAGAGGAAGCATTTAAAATTACTGCCTCACTAAATTCAATGTTTCAAAAAGTGACTGAAGCATAGTCTCTGGTGATACTACTCAGCCATGAATCCCCTGTAATTTCTTTCTTACTTCATTTGCATGCTTTCAAATATAAAATGCTTTTTGTATCTTCTGCTTTGTGTGGAAAAAAACCTGACTGTCTTAAATGACTGAGCAAAATAAAAACAGTCACCATATCAGTTACTTAAACTAAATATATTTACAAAACAGAGGAAATATTTCCATAAACAACCACTTGTTTAAAGTATCACTTAGATGCATGCCATATAAAAATGTGTACATGTCATTCCTTTGAAGTCTCCATTTTGCTATACTGTGATTATCAAGCTGGAAACAGCCTTTAATAATTTTGGTATAGACTGTTTAAAAGAAAAAAAGAAGTGCCAATATATTTTGATAGGATGGATGACAACCTTCATTCCCTTTTTACAAGTACTTGCATGACTTAATTTTTGTTTGGAGAAGTGGTTTGGCAGGAGTATTTTTTTAATAGTATCACAAATTCTGTGCAAACATGCATTCATGCAAGCAATTTACATAGTCACCTCTAGAATTAGTCTGGAAGTAAAAAAATATCTTGTGATATCAGTGCCTAATCATTCAGTATAGATGGTTAATTATAAACAGAGGTAGTCAGAGCAAAAAAGCACAGCAGATCACAACTCAAGGGCCTGGGTTACACTCAGATAAGTACCTTGCAAGCCCCGTATCAGATTTGTAACTTGTGGCTTAGGGAGGACTCAATCCACTTTGACATCACTGACCAGGGGGGCAAAAAGAGGATTCAAATATACAGCAAAGTGATGGTAGTTACTACTGAAGCTTAAATCCCAAAGTACATACTACCCACAAGATTAACTATGGCTACTGTTCAGCCTCTAAAAGCATCTCAGACAAAAAGAAGTATTATCAGATATTTACACCATCTGAATCTTCATTTACTCATACTGATGTCATTTCCTAAGAAGCATATTTTAAAACAGGATAAAATATCAGGGAAGTTCCACACTTGGCAAACAAAGCGAAAAAATACAGAAGTAAGTGGCAAGATGGTTTAGATAGCCTAAGTCATACACAATCATCTCATGATTAACAGCAGTGTCAGCCTCATACACTATCTCTCATTTTTCTCTCTTGCTCTCAGTTACACACATTTTGGTGATATTTGATACTTCCAAGTGAGGGAAAAAATGCAATAAATTATTTAAGATTCAGAAGAGAAGGAATGGTGCATTAATTATGATCAACCTGCTGGCATTGAATCACTGGTGGAGCTGATGCTGATTTGATGAGATCTGAATTGAAATAACAAACTCTGGACTTGAGTTCTTAAGACCTCTGTTTTGATAGCTGATGGCACTGGCTACAGATGCTTTCCACATGTCTCTGTATAATAGTAGGGTATGTGCGTGGGGGGAATATAAATGTATCAAATCAAACACCATTCAAGCATTAATTCTAGAGATTTTTCATGTTCTAGAAGCAAGAAACTGAATAAACTCAACACTGTATTTCATAGATACATCAAACAGAAATCAAGCTTGAAAACTCTAGGAAATACAAAAATCTAACCCTAGGAATACAGGCCTCCTCAGAACTCAAATAAAAGGGAAACTATTTTCGGTTAAAAATGCCTAGGTTCCACAACATATACTAAAAATTGCCTAAGGATAGCAACTATGCTAGGTGAAAACACATGTTGTAATACTTGTATAAAAATCATCCACCCTATATAACTCCCAGGTAGTACTCTTGATTCATGATAGAGTTAACTTCAGCAGCATTTTCTATCTTTCAAGCTCTCTATGACCATCCTGCTACACAGAAAAGGCACTCATGAATGGAGCTCTCTTCAGAACAGCTCTAAACAGCTGTTAGGAATTTAAGGAAATCTGAAATTGAACCATGACTAGACTCCCCTTTTCAGGGCAGTAGTAACATCTAAAAATATACTATCACACTAGGATGTGGTTACTCTTCTATCTAGGATCACTGTCTGAATAATGGGCATAAGTGATTACTCCAGATTTCTTGTGTGGATCAAATTTGGTACTATAAAAGGTTTTCAGGGTCTAGTAGAGTCGAAGTCTTACTGTGTATCTTTATGCAGGAAATCTTTTTTTTTTTTTAAATCCACCTGTATCCTCCAAAAAAAAAAAAAGCCATCAAAAACGCATGAACCCAGTAATGCCATCAATGAAGTTGGTAGAAGCTGCCCTGAAAGAGCTCTGCAGATACTCTCTTCCATGATCAAACTGGGCAGACAGACATTACAAGTCTGACAGGTCCTCCTGCAAATGCACTTGCTGCACAGTTAAGAAAAATGGAGAGTTAGTTGAATATGCATTTCCCAAGCTGCATGTGTGCCATTTCCAGATACAATTTAATAATGGATGAACAAATAAACAAATATAATAAAAAAAAAAACAACTGCCCGGCAGGAAGAATCAAGCAGAACTGTGTAACTTTAGTTTGAGGCCATCTTTAAAACAGGCCTGGAGGCTACATTTATGGCTTTAAAGCAATTATCCAGACCCTCCTCCCCATCCCTATTCTATCTGCTGTCATTGTAGAAGTAACAGAATCCTAGCCCCACCATAAGAGTGGATTCTGAGTACACATGAAAGCCTGTGCAAAAGTTGGCTAATCTGAAAAACAGGTTGCACTTAAATATTGAAGTGTTTCATAAAAGCACAGGAACATCTTAAAGGGAGATAAATCAAAAAGAGAAATAAAAAGAGACCTGCACACGTGGAAAGACAATTCTGTTACTTACCCTCAGATCTTCCCTTGTGTTGAAGCCATCAAGAAGCTGTTGATAATGTCTATCAGTCATTTGTCGCAGGAGTGACAACAAACAGGAGACAAATTCCCCCTGTTCAGATAAACCAAGAATAGAAATATGTAAAAAAATGTCTTCTTTACTTGAGCTTAAACTGTCACAGTGTATAAGCACTTAAAAATAATTAACAAATACAAGGGAAATTATTCTACAATTAGGCTTAGACTCCATATTTTGTGAAACTACATCAATTTAGCTATGAAATTCCTTCCCATATAAATAATTATTTTCCCCCAAATGCAGTTTACTTGCACAATCTATTTTAAATAGTTCCAGAAGGGCTAAACCAGTAAAAGTTTGATTTGTGATTTGTTTCCCTTGTATCTGTTTTTACACAGATTATTCAGATTGCTAAAATTACAACCTCTTAGTCAACTCAGTTTTGCAACAAATATAAATGAAAATATTTTGCAACAATTCTGGGAAGAATGTTATTGTTTTCCTTTAGACAAGAAACTAATGGAGTTAGCTAGGAATTTTTCAAAATATTTTTTCATCCCCAAACCCAACATTTATCAAAGAGAAAACTAATTTATAGGACTGAACAAACTTCCAAAATTATTTGATCAGAAGTTTCCTTGCACCTACAAAGGAATTTAACATTAAAACATATATCTAGAAGTTGAGTTTAATCATAGGGCAAGACCATTCCCTCCCACAGCACTGATTCCTGGATTCCCACCCCAGAAAGCAGTCACTCCAGGGGGCAGCTGGACTTATTGCACTGCTGCATGGATTCCTCCCTGCCTCTCCAGATGCACATTCACCAGGCTGTCCTTCAAACAGCATGGGATTCAGGAACAAAAGAGCAGAGAACTGCACTGGGTATCTCCAGTGAGCAATCAAAAGAAGAAGACATTATAGGAAGGAAGAGGTTCTCCCTCTCTCCCTTTCCTGTCTGCTTGTTCACTTTTGAACCGGGAAGAAACACTGAACAGTATCACTCTGGTCCGACTGCAGAATGGAAGTGGACAGGAAAGAGTGAATGGTCTGGATTGCATCCCAGTGCTTAAAAAGAATTCTGATATCTTACAAGCTTGTTAAAAAATGGGAAATGCACTTCTGGCCTTTATCTACCAGGAATGGGGAATGAGACTGGGAGAACAGACGGGTATGATAACAGTACTTTAAAATGGTGGCTTTCATTAGTTTGTCAAGTCACATTTTGGAAAGATTTTTCCCCGTCTTTCATTAAAAACAGAAAATAAGATAAAAAAAGCAGTATGTTTTCACAGGAATGGCTGTTCTGGATTTTACATTGGAATGGCTAATTCACTTCTGATTATACCTTGTATAAGGTGGTGTGTGAAGTGATGGCTTTCACTAAAATAATAATTGTCTTGCCCATAATAAGATTCTACACTGAAGTAATGATCCCAAATTAACTACCTCCCTGCACAACCTAAGTTTGCAAAATCTCTTAACCTTCATGCTCTGGGCATAACTATCAAGGTTATTACTGCTGTCTTGTAAATATGTTTCCAACCCTATCAGGTTCTCTTCAGAAAATAAAAAAAAATTAGTCTTTTAGCATTATTTTTTAATATTTTCAATTTCATTTTATCTAGTCTCAACATGATTTTGTTGTGCCATTTAGTATAACGTACGTTCATCTAAATAGGCATAATTTTTGGAGACTTTTATTCCAGTTATAAAATTTGAGACCACGCAGATTTGTCTAATTAGCCAAAATAAGCAGAGTAAATAAATAAGGGTATAAGCTTACCTGATTGCTAGCTTAAGTGACAAAATTTTATCATGAACCTTATTAATATTTCTTTTCTTGCTTAAGCATTTTTAGCAGTCCCTCCTAGTCACCTTCCATGTTCCCACATTTACTTCGACTTAGAGTAGTACATTAAAAAAATCACAAACTATTATAGAAAGCTGCACAATTATAGCTGACAGACAGATTAGCTTTAAAAGGGTACCAGCTTTAGCTAATTGTTAACTGACTTCTAAATTTGAGCTTTTAATTCAAATGTAGGTAGCTATAATAGCAGTTAGTTTTTAAAATAACAATGAACATTCAGCTGCATTTGTTGAAGTCAACACAAAAATGTATATTGTAAGATTTCTGCCAGTGTTAGCCACAGACTAACTTGCAAATCATGCATGAAAGCAAACTCCACACACATAATGACCTTGATAAAAACCACTGAGGATCCAATTCTAGTGTCAAGCCTAGCAGTATATCCAGTTCACTTAGGCAGAATCCTGAAGTATTTTTTATTTCTTGTTTAAGGAGCAGAATTATTAAAATACATGGAGCTCACAGTTAAATTGCAATTCATTTAGGTTCTGAGGGACTGAACTTCCAAGATCTGACATCAGTAAAGGTTTGCTTTAATTGGATTGCTAACTCTTCATATGCAAATGAAGAAAGGAAATCCAAAGGTCTAAATCACTGACATCCTAACGCAGAAGTTTCACTTTGACCATTCTATTAAATTCAGTGTTTGTTAGTGCAACATCTGTAACACTGACACCCTGAAGACATGTTGTCTTTGTGCTCAGTTTAAAGCACCACATCCACCTTGCAGGTGTAGCATCTAGCAAGATTCTTCACTGTAAACTGAAATGGTACCAAGGTACCAAAACTATCTGAGGTGAAAGAAAGAATGCAGTAATGACAGCACACAGCCTGATGCTGCCTGATTTTATGCTGCTTCTTTGTGTAGAAAAACAGTGACATGGGGGCCTAGAAGATCACAGTGAGATGTGTTTGGGACTACTTACACAAGTAACACTATAGCTGATGCAAAAGTATGACAAAATTTTATCCAGTGTGCTGCCGTGATACATAGCACAAATAATATTTTATGATATGTGCAGCTTGAAATAATGGTAACATACTGGAACAATCTCTACTGCTGTACTCACATTGAGTACTTTATCGTACTTGCTCTACAAATAGTTCCAAGAATCTGGCTCCGTGTGTTGCCATAAGCCCGTACTGCATGATGTTTCTACATAAATGTATATATTTGCCTTATGCTGTGCTGTGAGTCACTTCCACACTAAATATTCTTTGAGATGCCTGTGGTGACAATGACATGGCTTTTCTGATGCATAAAAAGAAAATTTTGCAACTTGAAAGCACTTTCAGAGTCTAATTTTTTGATGGTGTGAAAGAATTAGGCTGTCATGGCACTTTAAGAAAACTTAATCTTCAATAAAGTAGATTTCTCAGAAGAAACCAATAAGCTCAGATCTTTGCCACACTAACAGTCTAATACTACAGCCCTTACTTCAGCTGAGATTTTCTTGTAATGATCTGCCACACAGTGTACTTCTGTAATTTAAAGATAAAAACCCCAAAATTCTTAAGATTTTTTTTTGAATCACAGTCATTAAAGCAGGGTGTTATCTTATTACAGAGCTTGGTCAGCTCCATAAAACACTTCATATAACATTTGTTCTCTGTGGGATAAAGTAAAACAAACAAAAAAACCCAACAGAGCTTTTCTTCCACAGCTATTAAATGCTTTTTGAAATGTTTGATCTCAGAGGAAATTCTGCTCGAAAAGCAACCATCTATTCATTAACTAAAACCGTTACAGTGTAAAAATTGGACAATTAATTAAGTCTATAATGAGATGGTAAATCACACAGCATAGCACGTTCTCTGCACAAAATGTTACCCCCTCACCTAATATTGGGGTCATATCCCTTGCTATATTAGAACTGATTTGCCCTTCAAAAGCCAACTGGTAACCTTGCTGGAAACAAAGCAAAACACCACTTCATTTTCTTTCATCAATGCTCATCACAGGCTTTCCCGTAAATGCCTGCATTTCAACCTCCTAATTTGCATGACTTGCTATATCATGTTGACCAAAATATCATCTGCTAATCTTCTAAATCCATCCTCTATTCTCTACTTCATGTGACAGAAATCAAGCTCAAATGCTTAGCCCAGAGAACAGCAGATTACCTTTCAATGCTTAGCTCTAGATTACAACAGAATACAAACTAATAAATTTGTATTTGTACAGGTTAGCATCAAATATTCTGCAGGCATTTTTAGAGCTGTTTCATCATGTAAAAATGTATGCTTTTTAGAAAGTAAAACGTTATTGATGCTCTTTCATTTTCAGGAAGTTTCAGAAAGCTACTAAAACTGTAAACAAAAGAAACATAATTAAATATTTGCTGACCTGAAACAATCTCAGAAGTAATTATATCTTTCAGGGCTTTTTTACACACAAAAATCATAAATAAATTCAATTTAAAAAATTACGGTTTCCACTGAAAATTAAAAAAATGCAAGAAACGTTTTCTTTGTTCTCCCCATTCTGTTTTATACACAAAATCTTGACATTGAGAATTACTGTACAAAGATAATATTGTAATGAATCTAGCAGTCCAGCTGGTGACAATTGTGAGCTATTTCATTATAAGAAACTTACAGTCACATCTTGAAACTGGAGGCGCACGGCAGAGCCTGATGGTTGTGGTCGGCTGGTGATTTCTAGTATGGTCCTTAACAGAATATCTAGCAGGCTGCTTACAATCACATCAATTTCTTCCAGGACAGATTTTTCCTTAGGTAATAAATAAAACATTTAAGATTTTAAAACAGAAGGATGACCACAAGCATATTTCCTTTGATATGGTTTTAGAACCAAATTATATTTTTATTATGAATGTTGCATTCAAGAAACAAGGCCTATTCTCTAACTAATATACCGTTTAATTCTATTACTTTTTTGTAACAGTTTTCAAATAATTACACTGGACTGAAATAGAGAGGACATTTACGGGGATGACTTTACGATACAAGTGTTTATCAAATTAGCATAGCTCTGTTTTCAAGTAATGTTTAGAAGAAAGCAGGAAATAATATACAAGAACTTTTTGGGCAAGATTTTTATAGGTAACGCCCATATATTTTCTGGGGAAATTGCCAAGAGAAGCTTACATTTCAAAAAGTAGAATTCTGTTTTCACACTTTGAAACTATCACCAGAAACAAGCAGATGGTGCTCAACCTTCAAGACCTGCTTCAGCAGTAAGGATCAGCTACATTGCTTCCCATCGACTGTGTAGCACAAACAAATTAGTCATTTATGTAAGCTTACAACTTCATGTTGCTTGTACGCAACATCAATACAAAGGAACCAAAGTGTTCACCACCAAAGAGACCATGAATACCTTAATCACATGCTTGAAAACACTTGATGAAATCAAGTTTTAGTTACTTTTCCTTTTTAACTCAGATGGAAATAGGTTTTTACTGCTTCAACAATGTTTTCTGTCTCCACTGCAGCAGACACCACCACCATCTTAATCTGAGTGATTTTATCCACAATTTAAGATGACATTTCTTCACAGGACGAAACACTTCATAATCAAATGTGCACAACCAAACCAAAACTCAGCTGACAACCAGATCATTCAACTTTGCTGACATCAAGGTGTAGGAGTGATTTTTTTTTTCTTCTTCCCACACACCTAAAGCATATGATTTGTAACAGACTCAAAATTCCTGTTTGGACTCAAGATGAGTCTAGTGTCACAGCCATGCTCTCTGTCACTTTGTCTAGTATCAAACAACTGCTAACTCTGCCATTTATTAAGGCAGACAGTATACAATGTATTTAGGAACTGTTTCAACTGTGAGGACTCATCTACAAACTGACTGCAAATTCACTTTTTCCCTCAACATCCAAATTATCTCAATTACTACAGAAGGAATGAAATTCTGAACTGATCCACAAAAAATAACATCCAAGTCACCAAGTTGTTAATACTCTCAATGACTCAAAGACTATTAAAAATAGTAGCTGCATATCCTGGACACTGAAGACACTACCACATAGACATCCACTTGTTATTGTGTACATCTCTGGCTTGGTGACTCCAAATGAAAGATCTCCTGAAATTAAGACCAGATATGTAAGCCTTTCTCCAAAACCACAACTATGCTTTATCACCTATCACTTTATCTTGCAATGAGGTATGATACTAATCCAGGAGCTGCTGCAATGAAAATGTTGTTACAGTGCCAAAGTTGCAAGCCACATCCATATCAAATCACAGATGGAGCAACTTCAATTGCTGACAGTGATATAAAATGAAGAAACACATAAACCGGTTCTCAGTAATGCATTACAATGTAATGTATGCTGGCCATGGTATGTATGTACTGCACTAACTACAGGCAATGTTTATTTTTAATTGTCTTATATCCCTTCGCCTGTCAATACTTATAATCATCTTCATATTTGCAATACACCTCTCTAAGCTAGCTCTCATATACAGCTTTCACAGATGAATTTGGAAACACAAACATCAGAAATTGCCCACAAAGTTTATCAACTAACAACCAAGTGCAACTCTTGTTGCAATACTCCTATCAATCTATTTACCTATATGACCCCTATATGACAATGAAATAGTTCACAATATAAAATGCCTCTAAAAGAAAGTGGACATTTCTTTCTGTCCAACACAACACTCAAAAAGAGTCAGAGCTTGGCAGAACACTATGCGGTACAATTAAAATATTCTTGCATGAAGAAAGAAGAAAGGAAGAAGAAGGAAGACAAGGTTAATGAGAAATCAAAATGACATGCTTATACAGAATCACTACACAGAGAACTCTTTAAAATGGTCTTAAGTAAAGGTCCAGATTGTGTCATTAAATATCATTGAGCCATATAAGGAAGTTCCAAAACCTTGTGGATGTGACATGGTGTTTACATACTGAGCTGTTCTTCTTGATGAGGCAAAATATGTTGCTAAGGATACGTGCACACATTATAAGGTCCTTCTGCTCTTGTAAATGCATGTGGAGATGATGTAAAACTACCGGAAGAAGAATATACCGAGAATCTGGAAAATATGAAAAAATTTATGAGTAGGAGCTTCTCATAGAATTATTTAATTTTAATACAGAAATAAAATGTGTCTCCAGCCCAAAACAGTATTTCTGATAAGCAGAAGCTTTAACCAACTTGCTTTAGCCAACATTTGTGATAAGCAGAAGCTTTTACTTAACAATCATAATATCCTAAGGCAAGTATTTGAATAAACAACATGCTTAAAGTCAATATGTTATATCATAGATGGAGAAAAACACCACTGTGTGGAATATGGTATATGTAACAGAAAATTATAAGTATTTATTGAACTGTCATGGAAAAAAACTTAGCACAGTAACACTTGTATTCAAAATAATGTGAAATTATGCTCTAGTGTTCCCTGCAATATGACAGGATCCCTTTGCAAGCCAAGGTCACAACAGTCTTCATATTGAACTTATGTTATTCTACAAATGAGCTCTACTTTACAGACAAGCAGTACTTTCATATTTTTTTCAGGTTTTTCACTTTTTCAGGTTCCTCACTCTACTGAGGATGAGCAATTTAGACTGCTGGTGTCTACGTAAAATGATTTGCCGTCCCTCTATTTCATTGTCTAAACACAGCTCTTTGGTGCTATTTTCAGTTCTGAATTCTCTCAAAATTAGGCAAGAACTTCATTAACATGCTACTTTTTCTTGCTTCTTTTTCTTATCATTAAAGACAATGTTAAATGGGAAGAGCCCTAATACTTACACTTGTGATAACACATTAAATACCTGTTTATAACTTGATAAATGGAATGGGTGTTATCTGTTTTCATTTTGCTGTTGTTTTTAGATCTTTTCCATAGTTGAGAAATTATGTTCCCATAAAGATGTACTTGAATCATTTCCTCTATTAAGATTTTAATGATGATTATATGCTGCATTATCTAAACATACTAATCTGCTTAGTTCCTTTGTTCATTAATGTAATTATTTCCTTAAAGTTGAGTTTACCTAGCTGGAAAATTACTCCTTTAAAATAATTTTGCCAACCAGGTACTGCTCATGGATTAGTCTTTCTATAAACACTTTTTACCCTTCAAATATGTGACAAGGGTGTTCCGCAGGGGTCGGTACTGGGACCAGTGTTGTTTAACATCTTTGTTGGAGACATGGACAGTGGGATTGAGCGCACCCTCAGCAAGTTTGCTGATGACACCAAGCTGTGTGGTGTGGTGGACACACTGGAGGAAACGGATGCCATCCAGAGCGACCTTCACAGGCTTGAGAGGTGGGCCAATGGAAACCTCATGAAATTTAACAAGGCCAAGTGCAAGGTCCTGCGCGTGGGTCGAGGCAATCCCAAGCACAAATACAGGCTGGGTGGAGAATGGATAGAGAGCAGCCCTGAGGAGAAGGACTTGGGGGTATTGGTGGATGAGAAGCTCAACATGAGCCAGCAGTGTGCGCTTGCAGCCCAGAAAGCCAACCGTGTCCGGGGCTGCATCAAAAGAAGCATTAGCAGCAGGTCAAAGGAGGTGATTCTCCCCCTCTACTCTGCTCTCGTGAGACCCCACCTTGAGTACCGTGTTCAGACGTGGGGCCCCCAACATAAAAAAGACATGGACCTGTTGGAGAGAGTCCAGAGGAGAGCCACAAAACTAATCAGAGGGCTGGAGTACCTCCCCTATGAGGACAGGCTGAAAGAGTTGGGGTTGTTCAGCCTGGGGAAGAGAAGGCTCTGAGGAGACTTAATAGCAGCCTTCCAGTACCTGAAGGGGGCTACAGGAGAGATGGGGAGGCACTCTTTATCAGGGAGTCTAGTGAGAGGACAAGGGGTAATGGGTATAAGCTAAAAGAGGGTAGATTTAGACTAGACATTAGGAAGAAATTTTTCACTGTGAGGGTGATGAGGCACTGGGAACAAGTTGCCCAGGGAAGTTGTAGATGCCCCATCCCTGGAGGTGTTCAAGGCCAGGCTGGATGAGGCTTTGAGCAACCTGGTCTAGTGGAAGGTGTCCCTGACCATGGCAGGGGGGTTGGAACTTGATGGTCTTTAAGGTTCTTTCACACTCAAACCATTCTATGATTCTATGATTCTACGAAATATTTCCTCTATTTTTTCCAGTAGTGAGAAAAAGATAGATTTATACTGAGATTTTATTTGTTTAATGTTTCTTTCACTCACTGAAATCCAGCACTAATCTTGTTTTTCTCTATTATTCCCTTGTCTTCATTGTCTAGTTATCTGTATAACACAAGACAAATCATATGGACAAGTTGATTTGTACACACTATTTAAGTATACTCCTGTTTTAAAAAAAACCAAACTTCCTTTCTCTTTTTAAATGTGTGCTTCATGCTTATTATTTATTCAGGTATTCCACTACACCTTCTTACTGTAGAAAAATATAACCAAAGACTGTATGGCAATAGGCAAAGGGCATCGAATCTAAAACCAGGGTACTGAAACCCAAAACTGGGAATCAAATAGCCTCTATCCAGTGACTGCTTACTTATTCAAGTGTCTCAGTAGGTTTTCATCAGGACTGGCCTGAGAGTTTATGTCTGCCTGTAGCACTGCAGCTGGGCAGAAGTGTCTCAACCAAACAAAAAAGGCATCTCCTTTTTGTCTGCTTAAATACCAGAAGCTCCGCAAAGTGGTGCCCCAGGTAGTCTGAGATGTCAAGTGTGCACAGGTGGCACTGACCCACCCACTGCAAGACCTATAGGGTCGAAAGGAAAGCAGGCAGGAAGATGGCTAATGTGCAGACCTGTGGTTAGGAAAGTACCAGCTTCTGATCCCCACCACTAAATCTGCTTATTGACTACTGGTAGATGAAAAAAGCAAAGCTCATGCCTTCAGCGGAAGCAAAAAAGCAGGACTCTCCATTCCTATAAAAAAGACCTAATCTCTAGGTTATAGGGGATGGCTTATTTTCCCTGCTTTTGTTAGGCCTTACACGTATTAAATTTTTGACTACTGGTAACCCGTTTTCAAGAGAAGAGATAAAGGATTCACAGTGTAAAGGAGCCTGTGGCTCTGTGGTTGGGGTACTCTCCTGGCAGGCAGGTGAAGGGAAGCTGAATCCGGGCTGACAGAGCACTGAACCTGGTCTTCCATTCCCAGGCAAATGCTCAAATCACTACTCAACTTCACAATTGTCACAGAGCAGCTACAGTAGGCTCTTTCCCACATTACTGGTGCGAGCTCTATGTTTTGGGCCATAGGTCCTCTGAGGACAGCAGGTCCTCTCTTGCAGCTACAACTCAAATCCCTCAGCCCAGAACATGAACAGAAAACAGGAGTAGCCCTATGCCAAGGTGTTTCTTCTTGGTTAACTCTAGGCAACCTCCCGATGAGCACACACAGGATTTGGTACCATTTCTGAGGTGCCCACTACTCTGTGAAGTGCTTATATGTAAGCACATTTTGAAGACCAGAGAATCTAGTTGAAGCAACACTTGACTTGTAAATAACCAACTCTTACATACGATATGACCCGAAGCATCTCAGGCAAAACTCAGCATCCTCATTCAACTGTTTCAAGTATCCCATTTTTGCAAAAGCTCCACAAAATGATTAGGAACTTTGTTTTACCAAGATCAAACAGATCAGCAAGAAGTATCTCACAATGACTTGCAACTATACATGGGAGGGAACAGTGCCAGTTACGGAATTAAGTACCACATATAACACAGCTTTAGATATGTTCCCTGTAAACCCATAACTCGATATCTAAGGTCTTGACCTGTTTAGGTGCAGAGATGTAGCGGCATTACAGAAGAGAAGAGCTGGCATATTCACCTCTGAGACAAACAGAAGGACTATATGTGTAAGCTTGAAGAATGTAATGTACAACCTATGTCTCAGGTTACCCTTTCTCTTAAAAATTGTCAGCTGCAATGTCAGCCACTGTATATAGAAAACTTAATGAGCACAAGGAATGGTGCAACAATCAGAACTCTTAACCATCAGTCACTGTCCTAATTTTTCTTCTATGCAGGAAGCCAAATTAGCTGACTGTTTAAAATGCTAATACTTGCCCTTTACAAATATTATACAGAAAGAGGAAAAAAATAATGACAGAGCTTTTAAAGTACATGCTTGACATAATTAGAAAGAGAGACTACTCTGGGCAATCCTTGTGACCTTCCTATGCAAGCTACATTAGTGTTTAATATTTAACCCACAGCACAACTTTCCCCATTGCTTTTCAGCTAGCGGTAAAGTACCTGCACAGACATACAAAGCTTTCTTTATTCTAGTGTATTTTAAAGATTAATTTCAGAAATACAATATTCATTTCAATGACTATGTCTGAACAGATGGTCAAAACGTCAGCCTGCACGGAGAAAGAATTAGAGTAACTGAACTTTTTAAGCCAATAAACAGCATTCTCCTCAAAGAGTGAGAAGCAAGGAAGTTGCCCTTATTTTTAATAGTTTTACTTAGACCTATTCAATTTACACCTCCTTGTTTGGAAGAACCACTAGACTTGAGGGCGGTAGAAGAAGAAAACGCTTAAGCCAAACAGTTATCACTGCAATTCCAAAACCAAATGTGTACACCTGCTCTGTGACTGGATGGACATGTCACTGTTCTCAGAATAGTCAGTTTCAAAATTTCTGTGAGGAACTGTTTTCAGTTGAAAGAAAAAAATTGCCTCTAGTGCAGAAGGAAAACACAGGTATGGCTGAGAAAGTCCTCCCTCAGCCTAAAAAAGAGGCACAGATGCAAAATATTTTCTGCTCTCCACTATAGAGGTACTAATAAAGGCTGAATTTTTGTATGCAATATACATACATACATACATCCCTCCACACGTGTGTATAGAAACACACATACACGAACAACTCCAAAGAATAGTATATTGCCATGGAAGACAAAATAAGAAATACTAATTAATTTAAAAAAGATCTTGGAGTACTAGAAAGCAGTAATATGGATCAATATGTAAAATTTTTATGTTTTGAAAAAATTGTCTCTTCTTTTCCAAATCTGTGTTAATATGTTTAATGCATTTTAACTGAATTTAATTCAGGATTTGTCTAAACAATTTCAGTAATGATAGGCTTTTTTCATAGCAATCAATTACCTTGCAGTGACTACTGAGATATCTTACAAGTCTCATTAAAAAAAAGCTTTGAGTTTTTTGAAAAAATTATGGAATAAAAGGGAAATCATAATACCTACCTTCAAGAACTAAACCATCTTATCAGGTAATGGCATATTTTCTTGAACTTGCTAACAACTTTTTTTTCATTCCAATAGGAAGTCTAACATGTAACAATGTCCTTTCCATGAGGCAGTTCAAAGATACTAAATTATTCTCACTGATTGTGTCAGATATTTATCTCTAATGACTATTGAAACATATAGTTTCCTACATGTACATTCTCCTGTGATATACAGGATGCAATTCTTAGATGAACTCATTAACGGACTGAGGGAGGCAGTCAGTCTCAGAAAGAAAGCAAATAAATAATTATAACTTTTCTAATCTATTAATACTCGGTTTCAGTGTAAAATAAGGAAAACAATAAAACCAGATAAGAAGTTACACTTAAAATAAATACATAAAACTTTACATATGAACTAAATTAAATAAAATTAACACATTAAGATGTCTTTAAAACATCAACTTGGGATTTTTCCTAGCTTAATAATATATGTTAATATGTGATACATATTATCATAACATTATCACATATTGATATCTATAGCATAATGGTCAGAGAATTAAACCCCACTATTTCTTTTGAACACTTTGCCTCACTAAAAGGAAAAGTACTACCCAGCTACTCTTGCACACAGGTCCAAATCCTCATATTTTGGGAACAGTAAGAACATTCTCTGTGGCACAGTGCTGCACCACAGATTATAACTGGGCTAAGATACAGGCTTTATTAGTATGGGATTTTGGGTTTTTTGGACTTTACCTACTAATGTAATCTCTCTTCGGGTAATTGACGTGCTTGATCGGTGATGATTCCAAGAAAACTCAGACTCTTTGGAGGAAGAAACCTAGATGTTCCACTTACACATGTCACATTTTCATAGCTATTGAATTTAGAAGTTCAAAGTAGTGCCCTTAGAGTGAAAGTGGTGTTCTGATAATTCCTGTTTAACCATGTCAAGAAAGACATGGTTCAAGATGTGTTTCTTTGTTAGTGGCCTTAACTCTTCCCAGAAAAACAGATTTAACTCTTCCTCAAAGCAAGCTATAATAATATTTAATGCAAAAAAGACAACAAACAAGAGACTACCGATGGATCAGAAATGACAAAGGAAGAAAATCTTCTGGGTACAAGCATATGTAGGTCATCAATTTGGCCATTCTATAAGTATCAACAGGGATGTGTCCACAGAGTTACACTCAAAATACTGGGCGACTGGAAGAAAGGACAAGAGAAATAAATACTGCTAAT